GATCTATAATAATTTATCCAATTTTAAACTAATCTGGTCCTGGGTGCTGTAGGAATCTGTAGACAAAAAAGATATGGGACATGTACAGAGGAAGTCATAGTGTTCATGAATAAACAGATACAAAGAGAGAATACTTATAATTAAGTGTAGTGCTCTAGGAGATGTTGGAAAACTAATATAGGCACATGTCCTTTTATTCAATTAAGTTATATGCTGCTAAAGATTAGGGTCCCATTTGAGATTCCTACATATGGAGGAACCTCCTGAGCCCCTAGAACATCTAGCATAGAGATAAGTATTAAGTAATTATTACACATTCATTACCTTGAATTCTTCTGTGAAAAATTTAATATTATAGAGATCTCTAGGAGCCTTAGAGGGAATATTAGCCCAAAGCAATCACCATTAAGATTCTGTGTGAAGCCTCCAAGTCTATGAAATCTTAGAAAAAAATAGACCCTTGATTCACTTAGAATCCAAGTTCCTATGCATTTTAGCAAAGGAGACTCATGTATAATCTTGACTCTGGAGGGACAGCTATATGATAAACCAGCTTCAGCAGCAGAAGCCAGGTATAAGCAGATGCCTACCTGTAGTACTGGCCAAAGGACTCACATGTTAACATCAAAATCAAGCCTAAAGGAATATGGTCAAATTGGACTCCAAAATAGGTTTGCTGTCAAGCAAAGCTGTCCTGGAGACCAGTACTGGGGCATGGGTATATGGTCAATACAGGGGGACCATGGATATCTTTTGGGGATTAACAAGGTTTGCTGTGGGCAAGTAATATATTTGTTTTGTGGCTAAGAACAGTGACCCTACAGAAACCTGGATATTGGCCAGTGAAATTTTGTAGGCAAAGCAGGGTTACTTAAAGATTCTTAGATTGGACAGCTAACCAACACTTCCAACAGAGAATTCTCACTGGAGTTTATTCCAGCTTATGTAACAATAGAGTTTTATTGATGTAAAGTTCCTGCTTCCTCCAGTACACATCTGTGTGTTTCTGGCTGTGTACTGAGTTAACTTTGGGGACTGGGAATGATGGCGATTGACAGATCACAGCTCATTAGCTGAATGTTTACTTAGCCTTTTGCTGAAGCCAATCACAAACAACCCAGTGGCAAATTTGGAAGCTCTAAGTTCCAAGAAAGAAATTTTGACTAAAGGAGTTAAATAAATTCTGGGGTTCCTTTGGGCTTTTACAGCCAGTAAATACTGTTACACGATCAGAAACACCCCATGAAAGCAAAAGGGTGGGACAGGAAAGGCATGTGCAAAGAGCTTTTGTAAAGAATGTAGCAGAGGGCTGGGGATTTAGCTCAGCGGTTTGGTGGCCTGCCTTGCAAGCGCAAGGACCCGAGTTCATTTTCTAAAGAACATTCTTAATTTAAATAACTACTAGTGTGTGAATACACTTTATGCTTCTAACACAGTATTACATGGATTTTACAATTTTAATTTATTTTTCTAACATCCTAGTAATGAGGATATTATACGTCGCACCCACAGTAGGTAGCCGAATGGGAATCGAACGCTGATCTGTGTCGTGACAGAGCCAGCTATACCCCAGCCTCCCTATGTACCGATGTGTTGTCCTTGGCTCATTGCTGTACTTAGGAAGTTAAGGCACAAAAGTCCAGTGAATATAGTTTCTGTGGCTAGCATCCATTTCTAGAAATGCACGTAGGAATCATACCATGACAATAACAAGAGATAATCTAGATAGGTCTTATTTTTAAACATTTGTATAGGTCCATGTTTGCTGTACATAATGTTTGCATTCCTGTATGGAGTTACACAGTTCATCTCAATTCCTTTTTTCATCTCCATTACTTCCACTCTCTATCTCCTTCATTTCTTCATTGCTAATCTTTACACATTTGCTAGTAAATGAAAAAATGTGCGTGTTTCCTCGATAGAGCACAGAGAACCAGTTTTCTGCTAGTCCTGATGCTAACTGCAAGGGACCGAGACCTTTGGTGTGGGCAAACATATTTGTAAACAACTCAGTGTAGTGAAGAAATACAGTTCCTTCAGTTCCCTGGGGGTTCAGAGGAAGGTGGGACCCATTGCATCAGAGGGTAAGGAGAACTTGCAAAAGGAGGCAGCGTTTGAGTCAGGCCTCAAAAGAGTTGACCTTTGCCTTCTAGACTGAGGGAAGCAACTCAGAATAAAGCTTTGAGGGATGGCCCTGAACAAATTACTAAAGGATGAGCCACAAAAGTGCTACTATGCCTTATAATATCATATAGAACATAGTCTAAATTATAAATGGATGCTAATAAACTAAATGAGGTAAGAAAATGAATGCAATTTACAACCATAAAGTTATCATTAGCGATCAACTAATGAGATAGCAAATATACTTAGGTAATGTCATACGGTATATACTGAGATACCACAGATAATAACGAAGAAGATACATCCTGGAGACAGGAAGCCTCAGCTTATATCATGTCCTGTGTGATCGGGGGCAAGAATGAATAGATCCCTTATTTTTTGAATCATTGATTTGAAAATGCAACTGATTTCAGACTTTCACGTTTTTAAAAATTGCTGCCTTTTAAATTTAGAGAGGAGAAAAAAAACCTGTATTTTGAAATTTTATTATGTTAGATTCATGCATGACATATGGTGATACGCTTCCTGTGTCTGTTAGTGTCAACTTATCTATGTAGCCCTAATTTTCCTTATTTGCTTGTTAGATCAATTGTGCTATGAGGTTACATTTAGGCTGGTGTTTTTATGTTTGCTTTGGTATATGTGTCGTGCCTCAAAGGATAAAGGGACAATAGTGCCATTCCTATTTTAGAAATGAAGATCTAGAAATACAAAGTTGAAGAGATAGGTAAGACTGTGCTGTAGGCTTAGCATATGAAATTCGTCAAGACCCATTGTGCTGTTGGGAAAACACAATAGGCACTGGTATCTATCTGATAGGCCTGAACTCAAATTTCACCTTTTTCATATCTAGACTTTTCTATTCTCTAATGGCTGGATTGTGGATAGTTTTTTAAAAAGCACAGCTAATAATACAGTACCAAAGTAATCCATAGGATAGATTCTCCTTTCTTCATTTTTTTTCATTTGAAATTGCCTTCCTCACAGAAAGTATGACATTTGAGCTTTTAATACAAACATTCTCCTATGTTGATTTTCCAGAACATTGCTCAGCTTTTCACTTTGCATGAGCATTTACCAAAGTCAAAGAGACCACAAGTAAAGTGTCTGACATTGTAAAATAATTTATCACGTATGACAGAAAGAGTCATGATTATGAATGGAGACGGGTGGGTGTTAGCTCTGTATGAATTCTGAGTCTGAGCCTGGCGCCTGACTGAATGGCCAAAGTCTGTTTCATAGATCCTTCTTGTGGGGCAAATATGCAGTGACTTATATTCCCTGTTTGACCTTTTACTGTTGTGATTTTTCAAAACCACAGAACTTAATTTCAGGTGTCAGCCCAAACACCACAGTCAAATGTATAGTTAACTAACTGGCAAACCAAGGATAAACTAATGGATAGGATATAACCATTTACCAAGTAACCCCAGTCAATATTCTTAAAGTTTTGGTATCTGATACTTCTGAGAGATGTTTGCTTGAAGATGACCAAATAATTATAAAAGTAGAAAATATTGATAAACTCTGGGACAATAAACCTCAGTTAGGCAATGTTACTTGCCAGGATGACATATGTGATTGTTCTCATCTATGTGTATCACAGTCTTGCTTTCTGTTGTCAATTTGTGAAATGAAATTTATCAATTGTTATAGAGTTTTTCAGTGTTTTTCTCTCTGAACAATATTGAGAACAATGCCCTAGTTCATAAAGTTTAAAATCCTTTGCTTGGGACTCAAGTTAATTTATTTTCATTTATGGAGAAGCTATAGCATGTTATGAATATCATGTTATGAATAAGAACACAAACTCTAACTTAAATGGCCAGCCATGCCACTTACTGGCAGTGTAACCTTCAGCCACTGAACAAACCTGGGTTAAAGTTTTATTATCATAAATAAGGACAATAAAACCAACTTCATAAGGTTGTCATGAGGATGGAATGATGCTTACATAGTACTTCTTAGAATAGTGACTGGTCTAGAAGAAACTGAACATTTTTTATGTGCCAGGCATTGGGCAAGATACTACAATGTAAAACAAATAGTATCTTCTTTCTCAATTGAGTTGGTAGCCTAGTAGGAAGGCAAGAGAACTACTGCCCATGAGGTAAAACCAGTCTGCCATGTGTTTCCTGTAAATAAATGTATGCTATAGCACAGCCATACTCACTTGTTTACATATTTATGTATTTGCTGAATGTTGTTATGCTTCAGTAACAGAGCACAATAGTAGAGATAGAGATGGTGTGTCTCGTAAAATTAAAATAAAATTGCTAACTTATCCTTTATAGAAAAAGGTTGTCTAGTGAAGAAGACAGACATATGAACCAAGAAATTTTATACAGTGTAGCAGATGGGCTTGGTATAGGGTTCATCATGTGTTATCAGTTATGTGCTCTGTGCTGTTAATAACATGCTGAGTCCTGGGAATAACCATAGGGAATAAAACAGACAAAAGGTATCTCAATACACAAGGAGTTAGAAGAAAATAAGCCAAAAGTAAGTAAATCAGCACAAAGGTCCAGTGAACACTCCAGTATGTGCAGTAGGGCTGTATCAATGTCCAATGGACTATGGTCATCTGTAATCAGATTCCACTCAAAAATCTTAATTTCTGCCCATAATCTCTGTTCAATAAGCCTATTCTTTCATTAACCTTAATGTATAGTATGCTGCTGGTAGAAGACCTTGTGTACAGTGCTTTATAAAGGTTTGCTGAATGAAGAATGGCATCGCCATCCTTTCTCCAATTTTCCCTTTTTGGAAATGCCTATTTTATTTTCTTGACTCTATTAATTTTTCAGTGTCTGAGTGAAGTGTTTTTTTTTTCCCCCCTCTAAAATTCCTCTGGTATTTCTCCATTTCTCCATTACAGAAACTCATTGCAGTTTCATCACAAGGAGCTACCATGTTGTGGTTCAACGTACCTACACAGTAGAGAAAACAGGTAAATGTGAAGGTCCAGATAAGACTTGAACTTATTTTTACAGGAGAAGTTAGATTAGCATAGGTAGAGCATTACAGATGAGTGTTTTGTAGGGCAATGGAGATTCTCGGTGACCAATATTCATAAACATTATAATGCTCATAATGAAAAGAGCAATAAAGACAAGGGGGAAGGAAAATGTGATAATACAGTGCTTCTTACAGGATACATGTGAAGAGAAGCAGGTTAAATGAGAGCTTTCATAGAAGAAAGAACAGCATATTCTCAGAGGAAGTGGGAACTTGATGGAATTGAGGAATTTGAAACATTTTAATTGTTTACATCAACAAGGGCAGCTGTGAGAAAAAAGCCTTAACTGAAAACAAGACCGAGCTTTGTAAGCTAAGAAATAGGAGCCCATGGAAGACTTTATGGAAAAACTATGATAGTAAGAGAGACTGTGTTATAATCTGGAAAACAAAGCCAAATGGAATGCGATTTAGGAAGAATGACTGCTGTATGCCAAATGCTAGATTGATACCATGCCGTTTAATATTCACAAATGCTCTGCAAATTAGGAATCATTATTCTGATTTTATTGATAGAGGAAATATGAATCAAAGAAATTCAGTAAATTGTTCATAGTCACAAAGCTAAAAAGTGGATGAGCTGAGATTCGAATTAGGTTTACCGACATGAATACTCTGTATTCTCTCTTACTAACCCCCTCTATCTCCTTCAGCATGGTATAGTGGCGAATGGTGAGGAGACAGCCAGGTGGAAGAGATAGCTTCACATGGAAAGCTAGAAGTATGAGAATTGATTGTACATCCAGACAGCCAGTGACTGTGTCATTGGGTCCGTTGCAGAAGATATGGATGGAGAATAATGGGACGTGGAGAATAATCAGACCTAGTAAGCATTTGGATCTTATCCAACAGATGACAGCAAACTATAGAAACCATGCAAATCCCATCTCAGAAAATTACATGAGCAGATTTGTTTTATCTACTAACTATGAGGCAATATAAAGATCTAGACAAGGGTGTGAAAAAATGGCCAGTACGATATAACAGTTTAGGTAAAAAAAAAAAAAAAAAAAAAAAAAAATGAAGGTCTAAAGTAAGGTAGTGGCAGAAAAGGTGAAAAGGTGGGAAAGAGTTGATGGAACCTAATTTAAAAGATGGAAAAATAAGTGAGATGGATCTCCTAGAACTGAGAGCACATTGAGAGACACATGGGAAATACAGTTGGAAAGGCTAAGAAGCTTCTGCTCTCATAAAAGACCACAGCACCACTGGCTTTAACGGAGAGTAGGTCAGAAAGGCAAGTGGGGAAATTTCCTGTAACTGTACAGGTCATAGGGACAGATTCTGTAACCTCAGGATGTCTTGTCAGCCATGTGGTCTAGGGTTATTCACATATAGAAGAAAAATTATGTGATAAGGATTTTGGAAATATCTTCATTTTCCTCTCTATTCCTCACTCCCACTATTTCTTTTAAATCTGAACAAATTAAAAATAGAGACCTGGCCTTTGTGTCCAGCCATATACATTACACAGCAGCAATTTACTCCTGTTGAAATTTGGAATTAAATGAAATTCTAGTTTTAATCTTAAAGACCAAGAAAAAAGTCAGGCTAATGGGCCCATTAGAGATGGTGACTTATTTTACCTCTTAGATTTTTCTGGATTTTTAATGGCTGATAAGAAGTATGTTGGGGAAGAAGTAAGCATAATTGGCCTGCTACCCTGAGAGAAAAGAAAAGCATTTAATTGTTAAATTGTTTATTCCAAAAGGACACATTATAAGCTTCTTAAGGTTACCACCTGTGGGTGAGGGATGCTCAAGAGAAAATGTGTAGTTATGCAGTTTCCTAAATCTGCTCTTCAATGACCGGTTTCTCAATAAGTGAAGTTCAGTAGAGCATTTTCAAGAGACAGAGCAGTAATACTTAAGTCATAAAATTTTAAGTGTAGAAATAATGAAAGATTTCTATGTATATTAATTCAATGTCTGTATACATTTCAGAAGTATCTGCATACATTTACATATTCTGTAAAATAAGCCACATATTTTTGCCTATTCTTTACATAGTCCAGGATATGCAAACTAAAAATTTCACCTACTGTCATAAACATATAATATATATCTTTCAATGCTATACTCATCTATATGAAATTTGAATACTGCTGGTATTTAAAGTGGGGAAATAACAAGCAAATCAGACATCTTATTTCTTTTTGTGGTCTGATCTTAACAATCAGGTCATATTTTGAAAATGAACATACACCAAGTTTTAAATTTTCTTAGTCTTCACAAGGACTTTTAAGTAAGTAATATCCTGCACTTAAGCATGCTCTTTGATTGTAAAGTTTAGATCTTTAACACAATTTATAATGAGTTTGACATCATGCAAACTTCATTTCTAATCTTTAAAGTGAAGATAATTTTTACCACATAGGGTTGATGTAAAAATTGAAAAGGGCTAAAGGTGTAGGGAAAGTGGGAGGGTAGGGGAAAGGGAATAAGGGAAAAGAAAAAAATATGAGAAAATGAAAAAATGGAAATAAAGTGTTTGTAAATGGGGAGGGGAGGAGGGGGTGAAGGGAAGGCAGGGACAAGGGGAAAAAAATGAGAACCAAGACCTGTCATGTAAAGGTACAAGATCCCAGTAATGAATGTAACTGTACTGTATACCTACAATGTACCAGTAAACTTAATAAAAAGAAAAAAATCTTATATTTATTTAGAATTTAAAACATCTCAGTATGGCTTTGGCATATAGTGAGTTCTAAGTGGTATGAAGACTAGCATTGGAAATAGAAGCACAGTTTAGAAAGTGCCAGTCATTTCCTGTTAGAATATGCAAGGTTTAATACAGACTTGCATCTGAGAAACACAAGCTGACTGGCAAGCTGTATTCATAACTCAGCTGTCCTTGGGTTTTTCCTGTTCAAGTGGAAATGGACAGTTCATTGTCACCTGGCAAAGCATACCTTAAACAAAGCAAAGCAGAAATGGATTTAAAATAAGTAATTAAATACAAAATGAAGTAATTTCCCTTAGTTATTAATCCCCATCTTTTCTTTCAATAATATGCAATTTAGGTTCTTTCCTCCCAAACTTCCCAAAGAATTCATATGTATAGGCTTGGCTCTTGGAGCACACTTGTACATATACATTTCTATTATAGGTACATGGGCTTGTGGAAAAATGTGTGTGTGTGCTCATGTGTGTACTTGTAAAATCAGCCAAGAGAACTAGAGAGAAATAAACAAACTGGCTCCACAAAGAAAGGAAGATACCTATTTTGTTCAACTTGTATACTCAATGCCTCCTTCAGTGTCTGGCACAAATATCACTTAGTAGGAGCTCAACACATCTTTGTTAGTGAACTCATGAAGATTTATAAATATTCATGTAGTGTGTCTGCATATGTGCATGAATATATTAAATTAGCCTCATCTCTCAGAAAGTCTGTTTGTCATTCAGGATTTTTGTCACTGTATAAGTAGGGAGGAACAGAAGATCTGTGTTATATCTATTTTCAAAATATCCTTATTTTACTTTTCTAGTAATGAGACTGAAATAGCCATATTTATTCTGACTAGGGCTTGGAATTAGGCAACACCCACATACAGTCAAAGACATTTTTTATTAATCTTCTCAGAATTAGGAGTTGTTAGAACATTGAAAAAGCAGTATAAAAACTACCAGATATCAAGAATATTCTTAGCACAGTGCAGATGCTCCAAACCTTAAAAATGCTTAAGTGTGAGTGACAGTTGAGCAGGTTGTAGCCTAATTTGAGATTCAACTAAGTGTAAATAATCAGAATATATTAATTGGAAGCATTTGCTGGAAGATTTATTCAGTATGATCCTCCTAAATGTGACCTCTAAGTAAATAAGAAACAAGAACAGTAGCAGTAACTACTTACTAAATGCATATTACATGCCAGCAATCTGCTAGGGATTTCCTACATTCTATTTCATTAAATTGTACAGCAATCCTATGAAGTGACTTTGTGTTTTATATTTTATATAGAGACATTGAGGCTCAGAGAAATCACATAACTTACCAAGGTCACAGAACGTGTAATTTAGATATAGATAGACGGACAGACAGACAGACAGACAGATAGATAGATAATAGGGATCTCCAACTCTCAGGCTAGGTTTACATTGGGGGACTGAAGAGATATTTTCTCTACTATGTTGAACTTTATAGATTTAAGTCCAGTTGTTTCTGAATTTGAAGCCATTGTGTCTATATTACTCTATTCTAAAATATGACATTTTTTAGGGAAAACCAAGTATTTATTTAGGCTGAGCATTTAAATTACAAAATCACATATTTTCACCTGAAAACAAAATATTCAAGATCATCAAATTGAAGAGTTCTTTGAACAGACTCATTCCAGCCGTGTCCTTTTTCTTTGGTCATATCTTTGGTCTGCCACATTTTTCTACATGCCTATCCTCAGAATTTATCTACATGCACAGTAAAACAGGCAGAAAAAAATGCTTTCAAAGAAGCTAGAAAGATTATAGTCTGAAATCTTCTCTCAGAATGACTTACTATGTAACAAGAGAGAAAGGAAATGGAAAGAGAACAGAAGTTAGTCTGCTTTGGGAAGGACTTCCAGAGGCGTGGGAGAAGAATTTGCCATGGTAACTTCTGCATCATCCTGTAGGGGTGGCAGGAATGCCTCGAGGGGAAAAGAGGACATCTCTTAAAATCCTATCTCTTGTTTACTAAAGCTGGAAATTCCATAAAAGGAAACTTGAATCAATGGATAGGACACGCTGGCCTCCTCCTAATATGACTTTGATTTTATGATCAGAGACGAAGTTACTCATCTAATAACCCGGTTCACTTTTCATTGTTACCTAGCATTGCTCTATGTCAAGTTACTTAACATTAGTTTTAGGATAATCCCTGTATCTAATGAACAAGTTTCCTAAAGCCACAATATCCCGGTGTAATTTATTTTTCAAAGAAAGGTATTTCTGAGAATAAAAGAGGAAACCATTCATTACACTAGAACAAAGCCAAAACCCAGAACTAACTCTGCCAAATTAGGACAAGTGATAACCCTACATAAAACTGATCTTGATCTCCACTTTCGGAAGATATTTATTGGAAACAAAGAACACTCAATAGGCAGGTACTATTTATTCAGAATTTGCTAAAAAGCACGAGAGTCAGCCGTCATCACTTTGGTTAGGTAGATAGGCAGTATAGTAGAATAACTTTATAGAAGGGAGAGGGAGATCCTCAGTCTTATTCTGATTGGAGATTTTTTTTTTTTTTTTTTTAAAGCACGAAACCAGAGACAGGCTAACTGGAAGCAGAGCATTTTCTATGAATATTTGTCCTTGTCTTGTTCCGAGTCACTGCCTGAGTCCTAACACTTTGAAGCCAATTGCTGCAGAGAATGTTGGTCAAAGATCTATTGTCATACATGACCTGGTCATGTCCATTTATATATTTAGTTGTTCAAATTGAATTGTTTACTTAATATGATATTGCACTGGGGATTTTTAAGAACACTTTATCTGAACTGTCTAAGGTTGTTTCAAAGGTATTTCAATGTTTTAATAAGTAATTATTAAATTTGTATAATTTCTAGGTCATTAAATTGTTTTAAATCATATACATACATATATGTATATGTCTATATCTTTCATTTATTTTCTTTTGAACACTTGAAATTTTAGCCTGTTTGTTGACAAATGGTCCATCCAATTGTAAATTTGTATGTTTAATTTTATTTTTATAGTATTTCAAGAGATGTAAAATCTCACGCATACAAAGGGTTATATTTATCTACATTTCGAGTTTATCTCTATTTTGGGTAAACAGTTCATTAGGCATATTTTCTTACATAAGATGAAGCATTGCTGCTGATAATTTTGTTGCTTGCATGCTCTGTCTGCATTCCTGTCCCAAATTAGGGATTGTGAGGCTGAGGATATACCTTTAAGCACGTGTGCAGCCCTGAATTCAATCCCCAGTACCAAAAAGAGCAGGAATTACAGTTAGTAGGTTGGGAGGAAGGGAGCACGTGCAGATGAGGATAGCTCTAGATTCTTGCATGTGCGTTTTAATGTAGAAAACTGAAGACTTTCATTAATTTTAGTTGTGATCATATTTTAGTTATGTCTAAATTTTTAAATGTGTAGGTGAATTTCTATGGCCTTTATAAGAAAGAAATCTTATCTCCAGGGATATATTAAATGAATTTGACTCTTCAATGTGAAATAGAAGACTTTCAAAGCCTAAAGAGTTTATTAATGACAGTAATCTAAAATCAAAGCAAAACTCTTAGCAAAAGAAATCTGCGTTTAGAATTGATAATGTAATTAAAATGAAAATTTATCACTACATTATTTTCACAGAACTTATAAAATGTGTGTTAGGATTTTTTAAAATTAATTTTATTGGTATGTTTAATGTATACAATATAATGACATTCATTGTTGGAAATTTGTACCTTTACATAATCAGTCTTCGTTCTTATATTTTCCCCATTCCCTTGCCCACCCTTCAATCCCTGCCTCCCTCCCTATCTACAAAGACCTCATTTCAATTATTTTCATTTTCTCATAATAATTCTATTGCTTTCTTTCCTTTCCCCTTCCTTTTCCCCCTCGGCTTTGCCCTTTTTCTTCCTATTTCACATTATCTATTATACCTTATTTGCACTTTCAGTTTCTCACACTAGAGAAACTATTCGGTATTTACACATGTGTGTCCTATTTATATCAATTGAGTATATCACTTCAATGTGCATCCATTTAGCTATAAATGTCTCTAATTTCTCATTTTTTATGGACCCGTAGTATTCCAAGATCTTTATCAAGAAAAAAAATGAATAATTGGAATAAAAAACAGACATGAAGATCAATGGAACAGAATAGAGGATGCAAAAACAACCAAAAGTGCATTCAAATATTTGATCTTTGACAAAGGGGCCAAAACACACACTGGAGAAATGTATCTTTAATAAAAGATCTTGGGAAAACTAGCTCTCCACATGCAGTGGACTGAAACTAGACTCATATATCACACCATGTTTAAACTAAGATAAAAAATGGATCAAAGAACTAAATATTAAATCGGAAACACTTTACCTTCTGGAAGAAAAAATAGGTCAGTGGTGGTGAACCTACAGCATGCGTGGCATAGTAGGCTGTTTGTATCACTGAAAGCTCTGAAAGGTTTGCCATTGTTGAAATAAGTAAAACTCTTTAAAATCATAGGCATAAGCAAGGACTTTCTGGACAGAATTTCAGTTGCACAGGAAATAGTTCCAAGAATCAACACAAAGGATCATATCAAATTAAAAAATTCTGCACAGCAAAAGCAACAACAGACAACCTACAGAATGAGAAAAAAAGTTTGCCAGTGATTCCTCAGAGGACTCATATCTAGAATATATAAAACAAAATTACACCCCCCAAAATTAAAGACCCAATCAAAAAATAAGTGAGCAAAATGAATAGACAGTTCACAGAAGTACAAATGGTCTATAAATACATGAAGAAATGTTCAATATCACTGGTCATTACAGAAATGCAAAGTAAGACCACACTAAGATTCCATCTTAACCCAGAAAGAGTGGCCATCATCAAGAAACAAAATAATTACAAATACTGGAGAGGACGAAAAGAAGAAGGAGCCTTTCTATATCTATAGAATGTAACTAGTACAACGACTATAGAAATCAGTATGGAGATTCCTCAAAAAACTAAAACTAGAAACTCCTTTTGACTCAGCTATTCCCCTTCTAGGCATCTTCCTGAAAGAGTTAAAGACATCATATCACAGTGATACATGCATACCCATGTGTATAGCAACACAATTTGTAATAGATCAATCTTGGAAGTGGCCCATATGTTCAACAACAGATGAATGTATAAAGAAATCATGGTATTTACACACAATGGAGTATTACTCTTCCATAAAGAGAAATAAATTTGAGTCATTTGTGGGGAAAAAGGAGACCATAATATTAAGTGAAATAAATCAGACACACAAGCTTAAATATCACATGGTTTCTCTTACATGAGAAAGCCAGACTAGAAACAAACAGCAAAATAAAAGATAACAGGAAATATATCATTCAGGGCAGGGAGAGGAGGGGAGGGAGATGAAAAAGGAATTAAGATGTGTTATGTACATGTACCAACTTCCCCCAAGGAATGGAAACATTATGTACTGCACTCGTGTGCTAATAAATTAAAGTAAAAGAAAAAGAAAATAACAGTGACTAATAATACAGGAGAAATATAATGATGTACTGCATTAAAAGAAAAAAGAAATATGAGTAATAGCTGACATTTGATTGATTTATGCTGGATATCTATGAAACAGAAACCATGGAGACTAATAAAATTAGGCTATATTTCTATTCATGAGAAGGTTATGGGTTCTAGGATAAGATATGCTTTGAGTCCATAACTTTGTATAAGTTATTTAATTTCTCTGAGCCTCAGTAACTGGTGGTTAGAGATCATAATGCAAACCTCAAATGACCATTAAGGAAAACACAATGTTTCCTGCTGCCTTTTCTAGGACCTGAACCCAGTATATGGAGTCAGGAGACCTGGATTCTAAAATTTTGTGACTTAAGACAACTAATTGCCTGTTTTTAAGTCAGAGATATCTCATCTATAAAATAAAAGAAGTTTAGCAGATGCTCTCAAATACCTCTCCTATCCATAAATTTCTCTATTTCCAAAACAGATTAAGACTAGTCATATATTTTTAACATGATATAATACTACTGATATTCATATCTAACATTTGTTAATATCAATTTACAAGTCTTACCAAATAAATTTCAAGTCTTTTCCTTGATCTAGCAAAACTCCTGTTCCTAATATATTTTGGTCAAACTAATCTACCTGTCAAATCTACCAAAATCCCATAAACTGTTCACCTGTCACTTTTGCTCACAGTTCACCTTTCCTCATGTCTTCTCCTGGATTTTTAGTTCTTAAAATTTTAAGAATCCTTCAGAGGTACCTGATCTGTAAATTCTTCTGTGATTCCTTTCTTTAATAAACTACATCCTACTCTGGATCCTCTTCCATAAGTATCTAATGGAAAGAACACAAGTTTTCAAGTAAGGGAGAGTTTAGTTTGAATTCAGTTTCTTTTTGTTTCTATATGACCTAACAATTTACTTAGCTTCCATGGTATGATGAAACTTACCTAATGGGATTGTGTGTGTGTGTTTGTGCATGTGTGCATTTGTGCAGATTTTATAAGTTAATGTGTGGAAAACCTAGAATCTAGTAAGTGCTCATTGAGAACTTGATCATGATAGAGCCTGTTCTTACTTGTTTCCTTACAGTGATCTAGTTATTTTAAAAATTGATTTGAAAACTGGTGAAAAGAGTTATTCTTTGTAGCCAAGCAAATCTTTACAATCCCTTTACAACATTGGTTCATTTCTGCACCAATTTCTTACTTGTAATCTCAAAAATTATTCTTGTAGAAAAATTAGAAAATCTGGAAACTAAAAAAAAAAAATTAAATTACCTTAATCCTATATATTTTTTTTTTGGATCCCAGGGATCAGACTTGGGTCCTTGTGCTTTCAAGGCAGGCAGGGGCACCACTGAGCTAAATCCCTGGCCCTTAATCCAATACTTTTAAGGACAACCACTGTTGGTATGTTGTTAGATAATTTTTGAATATACATGTGTATACATGTATAAAATATGTATATAGAAGATAAGTGTAATTTTCCAGAGTTTCTATTATATTGCACATATAAAATATAACTTTCCTTTCAGATATTTTCATTTAAGATATATTTTAAATATTCATATTTCATTAATTTGACTAATGATAAAAATTCATGTAATTAAATCTTGAATAATTTATTTTTCAGTAATTCTTGTAAATGAACATTTTAAGAAAAAAGATATATGGATTTAAGACTTTGTTTCATATTATTACCTCTCATGTAATTGCGCCAATGTCTACTGTTACCTATAATGTCTAGCAGTTATAAAACATATTAGAATTCATAAAAATATTTAATATTTGTGAGATTTGTTTCATTGGAATTACTCTTCTTATTTTAAGTATTTTAAAATGGGACCAAATGAAGTCTAAATGTCTTGTTAAGGAACACTTCTCATTAATAGCAAGGCTAGGTTCACCTCTACAGATTCTGAATTGATTCATTTTTTTTCTGTCTAAGAAATAACTTCATTCATTTGTTCACTTGCTCTTTAATACATATTTTGAGAGTCCAGCTAGATAAGAAGTATACTGAGTTGACTACCGTTCCTAATCTCATAAACCTTATATCCTGTCAAGAAAGGGAAACATTTAGAGAATAGATAACAGTTCTAATTTATAATGAGGATGACAAATTTAAGAAAAAAGTGCAACAAGCACATATGGCCATGACCTCCGGACAAGTCAGTTATGGTTTACTCTAACATAGGCCATCTGACTTGAAACAGGATAACTAAATGTTTCAGCTAGACATGAGTGTTGTGGGATATGGGTAGAAAAGAAATCCTTCTGGAACATGGACTTTTCACTCTGACCGTTATTGACATTTCATGCTGGATAATTCTTTGTCATGGGGAGCTCTCCAGTGCACTTCAGGAGGTTAAGTAGAAATTCTCTTCTTAGTCCAGGGGATACCAATAACAGCCCCTGTCTCTAAGCTTTGACAATCAAAAGTGTCTCCAGATATTACCAAGTTTCTCTCAGGGGGTAGCGGAATAACCTCTGGTCGAAAGCCGCTATTCCGGACTTATGAAAAAGCATTTAGGAAGCTCCTGTGCGGAGGAGGGGCATGATATTTTTCTTTCCAGAAATTGAAACATGTTCAATATGGCTGACCATGGAAGATGAAGTGAAATCTGATCCAAACCAAGCAAGGTTCATACCATATAGGACTTTGATGAGTCTGTTAATTATTTCAAATTCTATTTAAATAATGCTAGGAAGCCAGCACACTTGTAATTGTGAATAATATGATTTAAATTTATGTCTACAGAAAATTGCTATCAGTTCTAGTTCAAAATTGGATTTTAAATGGTGAAGAATATATGTGAGTGAAACATTTCAGAGGTTTCTGCAGCGAGACTGCATAAGCCCACATAAGAATACAAGTACATGGATATGGAGAAAACATTAGAATTCTAGAAATATTTGAGTAAATGAATTAAGCTTGAAAATTCAGTGGCTGAAGTACAGAGCAAGTAGTTGTCAAAGATGCTTGCTAGCCAGGCGTGGTGGCACATGTCTGTAATCTTAGCACTTGGGAGGCTGAGGCAGGAGGATCGCTGTGAGTTCAAGACCAGCCTGGGCTACATAGTGAGTTCCAGGTCAATCTCAACTGCATAGTGAGACCGTTTCTCAAAAAAAAAAGAAGATGCTTGCTAAATGTCTGACTTATGAAACTGAGTGGATAGATATGCCATTCACTAAACTAGAAAAAACGGAGAAGGAAATTTTGAAGAGAAATTCAAAGTTTACTTTTGGCCAAGATGGGTTTGAGCTTCTAGTAACAGATAAAGAGTTGAATGAATGGACCTGGATCTAAGAGAAGTGATGTGGATTAGAAAAACGATTTGAAAGTCATACTGTACAGATGGCATGGAATAAACAAGAAGACCTCAGAAAAGGCATAGAGTGGGAAATGAGAGAACTGAGTTTTGAATCTTGAGGAACTTAGGAACATAAAAGTCCCAGACTGAAGGAAGAGTCAGTAAACAGTGGAGGGGATAAAACTTGAGGTCAAAAGTCTATGGGTTTCTCTTTCAAGAGAAAGAGAGTCAGCAGTTCTGGGCCAGAAATGTGACTGAGTAGCACTGCATCTGCCTGACAAGCACAAGGTC